GATTGCAATGAGGCCCTCGAAGAATATAAGCTTACCACTATCTCAAGCAACAGTAAATGGTCCTTTTGTCGAGTCTACTTCAAAAGGTTCTTTTGGTGCTCTGTGGGAGTCTTGCAAATGAATTTCTATTGTTCCAACAATTGCACTGATTTCACTTCAACAGAAAAGTAGGCCAAGCAAATTTAGACCAACTGCATATGTGGGGTAGAAATTGTATTAATTTACTGTCATTGATGTTAGAATTTGGGGTGTGCGATAGACTTACCTCCACGTGGTGCACCCTGGGCAACGTATACTCATACGGCAAAAAAGTCTTAACCGGCAGTTGACTTCTGACTTCAAACTACCATGACCCCACTGCATTTCATATTCGAATAATTCCACAGTATTCATCTTACCTTACCTTTTCTCTACCTTTGTGTCTGTCTGTCTATCTCTTTCACATCTGTGAATCATTGTTCTGTCCCCCTCTCGACTCTTTGCCTCTTTGATGTTCATATTCCTTTCTATGAAGCCCGAAGTCAACTAAAGGGCTAATGATACCTATCATAACGCCTGCCATTTGAAATAAATAAATGTTAGAATTTTGGAAAACAAGAAGAAGGAAGAGGAGAAGGAGGAGGAGGAGGTGGAGGAGTGAAGAATACTTTGATGATAAGTGTTGGAGAGGTTGAAGCTGGTAGAAGGAAGTGTAGTTCATTGTTTCACTAGACAGATAACGACATTGAGGCTGACTCGGATCGCAGTGAACTACTCAATCTCACCAAAATAAGGCTTCTTCCTTCCTTGCCAACACGAACATCCATCTCCTTGGTCTACAAGTTGAGGAGGTGAGCTGCCTTCTATCATATCGAAGTCCCATTTTCTAAACACCAGCTTTCACTTTAATTGAATTTACCTCAATTTCACTTGCTGATTAAGCATTTTTATTTCACATTTTCCCTTTAAGTGCACACTCAGCTTCACTCAAGTGGGCTTTAATTGCCTTCATATGTCCATAAGGTCACGATAGTCAGTTCATTCTCTGTAAATTACTATGTCAGGGTTTGCCATTTCTCTAACCTCAGCCCATTGGGTGGAATGCAGGCAGTTAATCGTGGGTGCCTTAACTAATGGGGAAAATGTTCGCAAATTGTTTGATAGGAATAGCTGGGCTGGAATAAGTACAATTCACTAATTCCAGGTTGTTGGGCTAAGTTTAACATTGATTGATGACTGCACACTTTGCTAACCTCAGAGAAAATTCAACAGAAATTAAATTTAACTAGCATCAATTGCATTTTGTTCAAAATAGCCACCGTTGCCGCCTCTTGCAGTCTCAATTCATGTATGAAATCAACTGGTTTACAATCAAATTAATCTCATTCAGATGGCATGTGACCACTCTTTCACTCCAATGGACAATTTGACTTGTACGCTAATACTAAAGTGCAGTTCAATTTTTCGAATATAACACCAGATTGTGGGCACTATTATCCCCCTCCCCCTTAATGAAAACGGATTGACACCCTCAATCTTCCCTTTCTCCAAGAGCTGGTCCTCATCTTCATTGCCATCTTGTTAATTTTCATATTTACAAGTCTGCATCGTGTTACTGTTGAAATATCGATTTTTGAAGATTTATTGAGGACGAAATTTGCCACTTTCTTGTTTAATATATAGTTTTCCATAGTAGATCAAAAATGCATACGAACAATGCAGTCATTTCCAACATTATTAATTTATGACCAGGAGTATAGACTGCAAACTTCCAACGCCCACACACATTCACAGTGCGAATGTTGACTGGCTGTGATGAGCTTATTCAACCACTCCAACCTAGTGACACATCGATAAGTGGGTGTTTACAAACTTGTCACTTTACAAGTTCTTAGAACTGGAAACTGTATGAGGATTTTCACGAATTCACTTTCGAACTGCAACAATCTTTCCAACATATCTTGGCCATTCCATTGTCTCCTCAGAACACCACAGGGTATTTTCATTGTGACACTTTGTTTCCTCTGAAATATCTCTAGGCATCAACTGTCCACTTGTTCTGAGTTGTAGGTTGATGAGATTTTCGAATAGATAAACAACCAAGTGTCTGGTTTATATTGTGCAGTGAGTTTGCATTCGTCGACCCTCTCTTTTCGACCAATTCCAATTAACAGAACAAAGTAGCATGAACTCAAGAAAGAGAGGGATGGCAGTTGAGCAGGAGTGATGGGATCAGTAGGGGCTGATGCGGCAGAAATTCAGTCATGCAGGTTGTGACCCTGTCTATGTTGAGCCAATCTTGAGACACCAGGGTTCTGCAGTGTCCACTCAACAGTTAATAGGAGATTTTAAACTTCATATGTAAATATGTTGCTTGAGTTCATTTCAGAAAATTAAGTGGTGTAGTCTTCACAGGGAAGGGTGTGAAAAAACATGATCAATTAGGCTAGAGGGGGGGGGTGGGTATAAAACAACCGAAATTACATCAAGAATAGGATCGAATTGAGCTGACTCCATATGAGGGGAATCTTGTTGGGCACTGCGACTTAGCAAAGTCCACCTAGGGGCCACAATACCTCTTATAAATTGCTTTGACTCTGCTCTACTACAGTAAGCGTAAATGGGACGATGTAAAGTGGAGGGTGATAGATTGAAGAAGTGAAGTTTGTCAATGACGCCAAGTTTCCTAATGCAAGGGAAAACTCCAACTATCCAATTCACACTTCTCAAATTATTCTAAAGTATTTAGGATTTGACAGCTTGTCTAAATCCTTGATTGCACACACTTAAATAGAACCCCTTCTACTCCTTCCTGTAAATTGTCCATTTTTCTTGATCACATCTGATTACTCATTGAATCCTAGTCCAAAGGTGCAGCTAATGAATGCTTCCAGCTTTGATCTTTGTTCGCTCCTGATATTCCAATCTAGTTCGCCAAACCCGTTGTCTGTTTGCAGCAGTTTGTCAAAACATTCGAACTCAGACAAATATTTTATAGTGGACTGTGCACACTGGACAGCAATACTCTCATTATATATCTACGGTACTAGCTTGCCACATCTTACAATTATTGAGCACCAAGATGCGACTCTTGATCTGTTTGGTGTTCAGGAACATGTCTCTTATGTGTCACATTTGCATCGTAGACATGAGCACATATCCCCACTCCCCATCCCCTCCCCCCAATTGGTATAAACTGAAGTTGAGTGTCTATCACTATTGTCACAGTAGATTGAAAACGGGAAGATGCTCTCTACAAGTTTTTCTGGACAATTCTAAGCAATTAGTCTTGTGGTGCTATACGCCTTTCTGTACGGTCGTCGATGTAAATGCCTGCCAAATCTGGGGTCGTGAAAAAGATAATTATCACTACGCATTCTGGAAATGATGTAACGTAGTGTGTTCCAACTGTTTGAGAGTACTAAGATAGAATGCACTTGTCATGTTAAAAAGGTGTTTCATGATGTTTCCTCTTTGCCCAAGATGAGTATTCGTGAACTCTTGATCGTGGTCAGTGTGCACACCTAACAGGCCAGAGGTAATCCAATCAATTCTCACATGTGCACATCTAGTGCTGTGTGGGGGCCAACCACTTCGATTCATTCTACTTAACATACATTTACGATTGGCCAACCATCGACCAATACGATTTGTGATAACGGACAAATCTGTCTACCTGTCATGTGATTACGATCACCTTGTCAGCCAGTTGAATGCGGCACCACTCTATGTTCACCACTGTTTACTAAACTTGCTTGACACTGGTGCCCACATTCGAATATAAATCGTCGTCCACCAGACCTAAAGTTAAACTCCTCAGTCGTATTTTTTCGGTTGGTTCGATCGCTCTTGCTTTGATTTTTTATGCATTTTCTAGAAAATTTTACTCCTTGACCTACTTATGCTCACATTATATGCACAACTTCTAAATTCATACAGGCACTTAGGAATTAATTCGAATCTCATGCACACAATCTCTGAATATATCATAGATTCATTAACTTATCGATTTGTGACTTGTCCACACAACATTTAAATAGCTTGAGCCATGATTTGACGTGGCATAGTTCCATTTATACTCATTAACTTTAGCAAGTAGTTGTCGAATCAATGATTGTCAGTGAAGTAAACCATTTTTGCCTTTAGATGGGAACCAAAATGGATGAATTAGTCTATATGGATTATGAGGAGGTATGTTTGAATTCGCTATGTGGACCTGATTACCAACAATTCTTGGAAAATTCATTTTCAAAGGAAGCTCCCAAAATTGCAATCCTTGGTGGAAGTGCCAGGAAGGAGATGGATTGTAAGCCAGGTGAACCGGAAACTGAGCCCAATGCTCCCACACAAACTGATGTGGTGGTGAATGTGAATTGTGCCACAGAGGATTCCTCGACACCCCACGCCAAATTAAGAATCACCTTTCCAAAAATTTCGAAGGGAGCAACTGGAGACAAGAGGTCAAATAAGGCCAATTTTCGAGTGATAAATGAAAAATGCCCAAAGGATGCATCTGGGAAAGAAACTAATGATCTTCAAAAGACGAACAGTCAATTAGAAACACAAGATGCAAAGACTGAGTCAAAAATCGAGGTAAGATCAATGCCAAAAGAGGAGGTAAAAGTACATTTGCTTTCGAGGATTCTCCCATTTGTTCCAAGAACCCGAATCTTCAAGAAGGACCCAGATGTTCCGAGTTCCAAGAGAATGAATAATTACGACGTTGAATCCGACATTGAGAGCATTGATCACTCGAAGGCTAATACGACATCTACGTCTTCAGCTAATGAGAAGATTGTTTTCAAATCAACCAATGAAATGAATGAGGAACTTTCATTGGGGCTTGACAAACCTCATAACGAAAGTTCTGAGAGAACGGAGGGTATTGCAATGAAAGAATCGGGGTTAGTGGGAAAGGAAATTGATGACCTGCCTGAGGCAAGTGATGTAATTCAACGCACCGAGGCGAAATGCAGCTCTACCTTCCCTCAAGCTTCTGATGACAAAATACCATTTCAAGTCGCATCTGCAGTCATGCTGGCCGACTTCATCAACCACTTGAATGATATGCGGATTAGCATGAATTCCGTGTTCTCCAATTTGACCAATATAAGCATCGAAAGTATCAAATATAGTGGCAGTCAAGGTGCTGAAAGTAGAGAACAATCATCCGCAGATATGAATGATCCGTATGAAGATGTTCAGTCTCTGGATGCCGATGTTTCCCAACCAGATTGTGCCAGAAAACATGACCGTCCCCTGAGTTTGGCAAGATCAGTTAATCTGAAGAAACCCAATTTTAGTTTTCCATCTTTACGTATAGACAGGAAGCAAATTATCACAAAATTGTCGACGCCTTTGCAGAAACCGGCTGGGAAGAAAGGAGATCGGAATGCTTTGATTTCTAGAGGAGTTCCACCGACTCCAACTACGACTTCTTTTCCAAATAGACCCAATCAACTCAAAAAGTCCTTCCGTCTCTTAATCCACGAGAAAACGGAATCAGATTCGAACGAGTATGAATATGACGATTTCGCCGACATCCGAAAAGAGGACCATGATTACGACATATGTGAGGATTTTGTTGGTGAGTCCACTTCTACGCACAAGTTGGCTGGCGAAAATCTCTACTACAATGAAGATGTGATTGAAAGGGCTGATTCAGTGGTCATTGAAGAGCCGCCACCACTTCCTCCGAAAACAAGTCAACTTAACCCCTCTGATAGACGCAGTAAGCACAGATGTGAGGTTCAACATTGCCAGAAACGTCGCAACAGACAGGGAGATATCGAGCTCCCAAGACGGTCAATATCGGGGGAAAAAGGAGTCACGAAAGGACTCATGAATTTTTCCAAGAAGTTTGCTTTGAAGACGCCATTTTCAAGCTCAAGAAGGGACGGAGAAGGGAGAGGCCCCCAGCCTACAACGCACCTGAAAGTGAAGCAAGGAAGTAAGGAAGCAAGGCGTGTGGTAATTGATAACGCCGATGTGTATGAAGAGGAAATACCGATTACTCGACTGACTGATTTCCAGGATTCTAATGAGGGTGAATACGAGTTGTATGGCGATTTACCTACAACTCAGCACACTGAAAATAAATATTTAGAACTGGTGAGTGTGAAGGGTAGACCCCTAGAAAATGTTGTTCAGCGAAGGATTCTCCCTGAACTTCCACGGCCAAATATTGAGTCAACCATTGAATGCAAAAGAAATGTTCGATGCTCTTTTACTAAGACACCGAAACCAAAGATTGCAAATGACCAACGAGATTCGTCAACTAATTTTCGAGGAAGTTATCAGTTTGATGAGAGCCAAGATAATCCACTTCCAAAGGCACTGGAGTTATCGTTAAATCTGAAATCCCCATCGAGTGAGAAAACTAATGAGGTTGGGGAGAAAATGATATCAAAGAAGATTCCACCAGTAATTCCAGCTCGACCAGAAAGCATTCCAAGTCACATTATTTCTAGACTGTCTACTCCATTGCCAACAGGAACACAAAATCACTCAACTATTTCTTCCTCAGTCGGTGACGAAGAAGGGCCCTCAGATGAACAGATGGTGGACCAGATAACAGGAAATAGCAATGATCGATCTGTTGGCATTGAAGTAGAATCCAAGGAGAAGAGTGGAACTTCAGTTCAAAGTGATGACGATCCCTCAGCATTCGTATGTGATAATGATGTCTACATGTACATGGCTGACTGCTATTCACAAGATGTTAATTGTATTGTTTGATTCAACCGATTATTTCACTTATATTTTACAAAATTTACAAGTGGGTGTATTCCCGTACACCATTCTGAAAGACATCTCGAGGGGCTCGAATTTGGCTGTAGGGTCGGTTGTGGCTAGTTGAAATATTACCAATCCTTTTACCAAAGTAGTGTAGTCGACTTTTTACTCCACTAGTGAGTTATGAAAGGCTCCCCTGATAAGCTGTGTCCTTGGTACAAAGTACAGTGAATTCGCACTTCTATAGAATTTGAGTGCAGTTAGGAAGGAATGACTAAGTGATCTGGTGGTGAGGGAAATTAAAAAACTAGGCTGTCAATGGACTACGCTTCTGGCTTGGTGTATTTGAGGCAACGTAGGTGAACCATGAGAAGTAGAACTCCATAGTAATCTACTAACATTTCAGGCAACTTGAAATTCCTGAATTACTGCCAATGGATAATGTAGATATCCACAGCCAAACCACCTTGACTGTATCGTATAGTAATATATTGTGTCAATTGGAATGCTTGGATACACTTTAGGGCAAATTAGAAATCAATCACGTCCACCATATCTCAAAAGGTTTCTTCATACATGGGACATTGTGAGCCCGTGAGGCTCAATTTAGTGAACAGGAAAAGGAAAGACGATGAAGTAAGTGGTTCACTTTTGTGATCCAGAGAAAGCTAAATGAAACTTACCCTATGAGGTAATTGACTGAGATGTTATGTTAGTGTTGAAATGGTAAGCAAATATGGTATTAATAGGCAAATTTCGTGATACTGGAAATGAAGACAGCAGATTGAGTGCACCAATCAGGTAGAGAGAACCAAGGAATATCACAAATGACTTACATGGATTAAGGTAAACTGTGGTCAGCGATGACATTTTTCTTACAGCTATGCCTACATGTTGAACATCGCCATTCGTCGTCTCCTTGTTTCTCTCCCTCCCCCTCCCCCCCCCTTCTCTCTCTCTATCTCTCTCTCCCCCTCTATCTCTCCTCTCTCTCTCTCTCTCAAAGCCCTTTCGCATTTTGCTTGAATATGACTTTCGAATACTTTATTAATTGATTGTGTTCTTGGTTTACTCGGTTGTGTTCAGCTCACCAAAGCACTCTTCGGTGGTAGTGAAGGTTGTGCCAACTAAATTTTGGACTCTACTAATGCACTGGGTTAAAAGGTAAAGGCTAAATTGAATGCAGGTTTCGACTCTCCGAAACATAGACTGAATATCTATTGAGGACCTTGTCATTGATGTGCGTTAACGGTCACGTTAATAGTTATTAACCCGCATAAAGTAAGGTTAAATAAATTTTGCTAAGTGACTTCTTTGAAACTTCCAATCTGTCTAACTACACTATTGCTTCGGGTATTTCTCATGAATCGATTAGGTAATAGTCCGTTTCTATCGCCTCGTCAGACTAAACATTGCGTTTTGGGGCCACATTCCGAATTGGAATGATCAGTAAATCTAATTGACATGAATGTGTCCAAGATCTCCACTAGTTCTGTGCAATTATGTGGAGACAAGCTGTTAAGCACGACTGCAAAAGAGGGATGGGGGTGGGGTGGGGTGGTTGTGGCGGTTGTGGTGGCGGTGGTGGTGGCAACAAGTTACCAGGTTCAATGACGAATGCGCACAAAATAATCAAACATTCACACCTGAAATCTGGCAAGTTTGATAGCAATAGTAGACGGTATTAAAAGGTCTGATTATTTGAAAGCTACTTGTTGCGAAGTCATTGATTAAAAGGGGCTTCATGTTCATCCGACGGATTTCAAGTGTAAGCTTTCTAAAGAAATAATTTGGCTAAGAATCATATTCTAGTGGTGATGGCCGAAACAAAATTCATTCATACGGTTCATATACAAAGATGCACTCTCGACTATTACGGACCGCGTTTCAACCAAGCTGCGGTAAAGCGAAACGTCTGGTAAATGAAGGCAAATGAAAGCCAACAACAAGTACCCAAGAGGTTGTCGCAATCAATATGAGGAAATATTAGATAAACTGAATAAATAAAGTAGGCAACGGTGTGATAAAGGGACTATGCCTTAAACAACATCGATATCAATTAAATCTCAATTGGAATTGAGCAGAAGAAAACAAACAGGTTGTCTGTATCAAGAGAGCAAAGGTAAAATAAGTTTGAAGGGATAGTGCAATGCAATTTGACCTCGTTAGTGGGAGCATTGTGCATTGGTTATGGTTTCGGTTCTCAACTGCGCACACGCGGTGAGAGGAGTGGCAGACCACAATGATGAAGTCTGGAGGTAGACACACAAGCACACATACACTGAACAAAGAGAGTTTTGGAAAGTTCCCTCTTCCAAGTGAGTGTGAATTAACAAAGAGTTGAAGCATGTCGCACTACAAAGACAATGAGGAATGAACCTGTCGCCAGATTGGCTGAGCACTAGTAATGAAGGAACAATGCAGGGACAATGGGGAGATAGGGACTAAACTGTGATGCCGCTGCAACCAGATGAAGGCGAGAGAGGTGAGGAGAGAGAGTGAGAGAAAGAGAAAGAGAGAAAGTGAAAGGACTGTGTTATGACCTTGAGAGTGCTGCTCACAATCGGGTTCCGATATGTTAGTTTTGACTGATGAGATACACCAATTTGAGCACAAACCAATGCACTTTCGGATGAAGGACCCACTCTTGAGTTGTGTGCATTAGTGAGCTAAAGCGGCTCCAACTAGCTTGCGTATGTCGACAAGTCCTCCAACCTCTCCAGCTCTACACCACCCTACTTCATTGCTGAGATCCACACTCTCCCCAGAAAGACGTCTTACAGTGATGGCCAATTGCTTGTTGTGAGGCACAAGGTGGTCCCAATATGCAGAGGACACGAAAAGGGTGCAACCGAGAAGCACCAGAATGGCAGTATTGAATGGAGAGGCATTGAAGGAGAAGAGATGCACTTGGGGTTTGTGACGGATGATGATACTACTGAAATAGTAGAGAGGTCGTTGAGAAAAGGGTGGTTGCGGTGGTGGAAAGAGTGGATGTGGGGGGAATTGTGTACAAAGACGTCAGTGTTATGGGTGGTTAGGTGGACGGGGAGACGTGGGGATGAAGGCAATGTCTATAGGGAATGTAGAGACATTGATGGCAAGTGGGAGGTTGGGTGGGTAGTTGTGGGTGACGAGGGTGCATTTGCCGATTATCGGTCTTACCACTAAAACTTGTATGGTGAGTACCGAGGCAGCACTTGCTGCCAAATTATTTGTCTGGTCCAGTGGGACCTAGATTGTGTGCAAAAGAGAGTGCAGTTGGAGTTGGCGTAGCGTGCTCAGTTAGGAGTTGGGCGCAGACAGTGCGAGCACTTGCTTAGTGCTGTTCTGTCAAGTATTCTGCCTCCAAGTTAGCGCAGATAATTTGTGCTGGAGTTGTGCTTGCTGTTGGTTGGATATTCCAGATGTGAACCTTTTCCGTTGAGATGCCCTAATTCATGCGTATGGCAATTGGTGTCCCCGGTTGAAGTAGCATTCTTCCTTTGCTAACCAATGGACTTATTAGAGCTAAATATTGCCATTTATTTGCCAGGGTTTATGATAGTTTTTATGGGGTGTGCGCTAGACTTACCTCCACGTGGTGCACCCTGGGCAACGTATACTCATACGGCAAAAAGGTCTATAAACCGGCAGTTGACTTCTGACTTCGAACAACAATGGCCTGACCCCATGTCATATTCGTTCATTTCCACAGTACTCACATCACCTTTATTCTACCTTTGTGTCTGTCTCTTTTACATCTTTGAAACGTTCTTCTGTTCCTCCCCCCCCCCCACCCAACTTTCTTTCACTTTGATGTCCCTTCCCCTCTATGAAGCCTGACGTCAACAAAAGGGCTAATGATTGCTATCAAAACGCCTGCCATTTGATAAAAATAAATGATAGTTATCATTAGCCCTTTTGTTGACTTCGGACTTCACGGAGGTTAAGAACATCAATGTCACCAAAAAGTCGTGAGGTGTAACAGTGGAGTTCTTCATAGGTGCAAAAGAGCCAGACACCAAGGAAGATAAATGGAAAAGGTGAGTACTGCTTAAGTGGTGGCTCATGCCGGTTTTTAGACTTTTGGCCCAGGGTGCACCACTTCTGCACATTCACGCAGGAACCTGCAAGCATTTCGGTGCTGTGATCACTCCAACTATCTTAAGTGCCCATCCAGCCTCCCGAGACACGGCGTCTGATTTATTCCCTCAATATCTCTTCTAACTGCAGTTCTCACATCTTCCTTGGAAGTGAATGTGAGTATAACCGCAAAGGATAAACCACATTTGACCACTGTATACGATTCACAGGTGTGAAAGAATACATAGCGCACCCCATTCCCCCTTTGGTGTAAAATGGGGAGAGGTAAACGTAGATTTCCATATACATATACACGCCAAAAGGCGAACTGGGCAGTTCTCACTCTTCAAATTAATCCTTTCTTTAAGTTGGTCAGGTCAAATTGTTCCTTAAACCATTTCAGACTTATCGAGCCTATCCTATCCAGGACTTATCATATAATGTGAGCAGTGCAAACGCCTTTTACTTGCCACTCTGTCACCTTCAGCTACACTCCTCACACTAACCAGGGCCCTATTATTAATAAACTACAAAGCTATATCAGGGCGTTTGCGTTTGAGCAGAGGGATGGCGAAAATGACGGGCAGGTATTAGAGCCACCGTGTTTGGTGACATTTCGAGGACTGTGTGTATTAGAGCGAAACAACTTCATAGGTGTAACCTCGGGCCAATTTGAATAGAGAATGTTAATTCTTCAATGACATTATGGAGCCCGTGACCGTGCTAGTGATCGCGTTATTGAGCTGATGAGGTCACGAGTGCAGAGACTCATCAGCCAATCAGCAGGCAATAGAAATTGCGGGGTCAGGGCACCCAAAACAGTAATAAATGACTAAGGTCTGTGGCAGTACCACTCATTCAGCTTCCTCGATGTTATTGATTTGGGTCAGGTAATTTAGAGAGCAACTTCACACTTGCGGAATTTGCCATAGAGTTTGGTGGGGTCCAGTCTAGGCCTAATCGGGTAGCATTCCAATGGCAGGGTGTATTAGGAATGACCAAGTTGTGGCACTTACTCGAGGTATTTGATTGAAAATTGGAATCACACAAGGCATCCAAGACAGCCATGTGACTGGCAGACATCACCGACACCAACTGTCATGCAGCCTGAATTTGGCAAGCTCTTTTGGAGAAGCTGCGCAGCAAGGGCACGAGCAGACCTCGTCAACAGCCGGTGCAACGCAGTAGCTGACTACCTGCGCCAGCTCGACAGAGAACAGCACTAAGCAAGTGCTCGCACTGTCTGCGCCCAACTCCTAACTGAGCACGCTACGCCAACTCCAACTGCACTCTCTTTTGCACACAATCTAGGTCCCACTGGACCAGACAAATAATTTGGCAGCAAGTGCTGCCTCGGTACTCACCATACAAGTTTTAGTGGTAAGACCGATAATCGGCAAATGCACCCTCGTCACCCACAACTACCCACCCAACCTCCCACTTGCCATCAATGTCTCTACATTCCCTATAGACATTGCCTTCATCCCCACGTCTCCCCGTCCACCTAACCACCCATAACACTGACGTCTTTGTACACAATTCCCCCCACATCCACTCTTTCCACCACCGCAACCACCCTTTTCTCAACGACCTCTCTACTATTTCAGTAGTATCATCATCCGTCACAAACCCCAAGTGCATCTCTTCTCCTTCAATGCCTCTCCATTCAATACTGCCATTCTGGTGCTTCTCGGTTGCACCCTTTTCGTGTCCTCTGCATATTGGGACCATCTTGTGCCTCACAACAAGCCTGTGACCAACCATGCCTACTCCATCCTTCAACGCTCCCACAACACCTTCGCCTCTCCATGCTCTTCACAAACTTCCAATTCATGCCCCACCACTCTACATTTGCACGAAATGTAAAACACATCATCGCAATTGAAGTCAATTTCATTCCAGCTGCTTCATACTTTGCTTCTAGCGAAGTTTGCAGACACCTCGTTGGTTAGTAGTGAGCAGACCCTTACTTCACTATTTGTCCTATTTCCGCCCAATTATGCACTCAAAATAGCTTCAGTGCCCTACCTTCCCTATCTCATCTGGAAAATTTGACAATTTTGCTGCAAGCCTAACCAAGGAGTGAGCAACAGCATCAGCAGTAACGGCACAACACATCTTCTTCTTCCGCAACCATAAAGTCCGGAGAACGTCAATTTGCACTGCAAAATTACGTTCGATTATGAGTAGGCAACTCTGCCTGCAACTTACTACCTCATTTCGCATGTCTTGTGCAGACGTTTTGGCTCATCTTTCTCAATTCTCCCCTATTAACAATAGTTAGGAACATGTACCAGGTTTTTCTCTTGCATCTAGTCGAGGTGTTATTGACTTGGCCTCTACTTTCCGCTATTATTCACGATAGTTGGAGTCATTTCGGGGAGATTGTAGACAAACACAGAAGATGAAGTGGAACAGGTAGCGAGGGAGAGTGTGGATCTCAGCAATGAAGTAGGGTGGTGTAGAGCTGGAGAGGTTGGAGGACTTGTCGTCATACTCAAGCTAGTTGGAGCCGCTTTAGCTCACTAATGCACACAACTCAAGAGTGGGTCCTTCATCCGAAAGTGCATTGGTTTGTGCTCAAATTGGTGTATCTCATCAGTCAAAACTAACATATCGGAACCCAATTGTGAGTAGCACTCTCAAGGTCAAAACATAGTCCTCTCTCTCCCTCCCCTTCGTCTCATTGGTCTCAACTCAGCTTTTCTCATCCTTCAGTTTTAGAGAGGTTTTAATCCCCCTGGTGATGATCCATGATTGCGGTTCAACCGCATTTATCTCATTGTAGCGGCATCGCAACTTCTTCCTTACCTACGCACTGACCCTGCATCGTTCCTTCATTCCTAGTGTTCAGCCAATCTGGCAACAGGTTCATTCTTCATTGTCTACATTGTTCTACATGGATTGTACAATAGACTTACCTCCCCATCGTGTACCCTAGACTACGTTCACCCATACCGCTGATAAGTCTATAATTCGGCAGTTGACTTTAGACTGTCATATTCAGCTTTAAACGCAACTATAAGAGAAATCACTTATGTCATGGCGAATCACAACCTCTTCCGATCATTCAGTGGATTGCTGAAGTCATGTCACAAGATAAAATTATCTAAATCCACAAAATCCTGCTTAACCATGATATAGACATGTTAAAAATCATGGAAGCCATCCTTACGGATGACAAACTCAAATACTACCAATTCCCTAGTTACGCGCTACATCTCCAACCTAAATACCGGCAAGTATCATGTGGAATTTTGACTGGAGTAAAAGAATTCCTTACTTCTCATTGAGAGCTAATCAAGAGTATAGGGTCGACTTAAGACATATACGAAATAATCAGATTTAGTGTTTGGAAGTGTCAAAACCACTTCAAGATATTCGCGGTCTATAATCCATCCCAGAATAGTCCCAAATTAAATTTTCTGAGCATCTTTTACAAAACTACAGTAGTTAGAGACTTTAACGCCCATTCCACCAGATGGGGCTATAAGAACATAAACGCGGCTGGGAAGGAAATCCTAGACATGCTCAACAGCAACCCTCTAGAACTTATTTATTGTGATGGGGATCTTGATACATACTAGCACTACAGTGGAACCAGAACAACCCCTGCCCTGCCCCTGGCTTAAAGTGACATCAGCGAGCATGCACACCGCAGAATAATTAACTATCCTGGTTCTTGTCACAAATCAGTCATTGCTAGTATTACCATTGGCAGCAAAAGAATGACAAGGAAAGTGCCAACTAAGTTACCATGGAACTTCAAGAAGGCTGACTGGCCTAGATTCACAAACCTTCTGGAGGATGAACTTCACGCAAGTTCCATCAACTTCAACCAACATCCTGACAAACTGCATGACGAAATCACAAACATTATGATCAGATGTACGAAGAAAGATATTCCCCGTGGCAAGACTAAACACTATCGAGTTCTCATGTCTAAACACCTTGGGGAACTGAAAAGAAAACGGAAAGGCCTTCGCAACACAGCTGAACAGACTGGAAGAATGGAAGACGCACAAGACTGGAGACGACAGTCAGCTGTCCTAAGGCAAGCCATCTTACAAGCAGACGACAGTCAGCTGTCCTAAGGCAAGCCATCTTACAAGCCAAACTAACTACCTTCTACAATTTCATCTAAAATAACAACTATCAAAATGATAGCCAGCGCGCTTTCAAATTCCTGGGTAACCTCCAAAACAATAAGAAAAGACCCAAGAAAGTTCCAATAAGCTTAAACAACAAACTGCATACCACCGACTCCGAAATATCTAACTACTTTGCGAGGTTCTATTCCAACAAGCAAAGGAAAAACCCTTTTGTCATATAATCTTCAAGAGATTTAAAGATTCAAGTAAGACAGTTTGGTGAAATTAAGGAAGACACAACAATACCACACAATGTACAAACTGAACCATTAAACCCTAGCGAACTTAATGTCGCTATAAAATAGCTAAAGTACAAAAAGTCTCCTAATGAAGACGGTATCCAACTGGAATTTCTAATTAGNGTACAAAAATAGCTAGATAGGAAATCGAAGACATGCTAAAAAGCAACCCTCTGGAACTTATTTACAGCAATGAGGATCCAGCTACATATTTGCACTACAATGGAAACAGAACAACTCCTGACTTACTCTTGGCTTCAAGCGACATCAGCGAGCATACACGCCGAAAAATAATTGACGATCCTGGTTCTGGTCACAAACCAATCATTGCTAGTATTACCATCGGCAGCAAAAGCATGACATGGAAAGTGCCAACTAAGCTATCATGGAACTTCAGGAAGGCTGACTGGCCTAGATTCACAAACATTTTAGACAATGAACTTCACACAAGTCCCCTCAACTTCAACCAACGTGCTGACAAACTTTGCAATGATATCACGAATATTATGATCAGATGTGCAAAGAAAACTATTATCTGAGGCAAGATTAAACACTATCGAGTGTTTTGATCTAAACAACTTGGGGAACTGAAAAGAAGGCGTGTTTTGATCTAAACACCTTGAGGAACTGAAAAGAAAGCCCTTCGCAACACTGCTGATCAGACTGAAAGAACGGAAGGCGTACAAGCCTGGAGACGACAATCAGCTGTCCAGTACAAGCCTGGAGACGACAATCAGCTGTCCAAAGGCAAGCCATCTTACAAGCTAAACAGACTTCCTTCGACAAGTTCATCTCGAATATCAACTAACAAAGTAATGGCCAACGCACTTTTAAATTCCTGGATAACCTCCAAAACAGCAGGGAAAGACCCAAGAAAGACCAATACGTTTAAAAAACAAACTGCTTACCACCGACACTACCAATAAGTTTTAAAAACAAACAGCTTACCACCGACTCCAAATATGCTTAAACAGCAAATTGCTTACCACCGACTCCAAAGCGCTTAAACAGCAAATTGCTTACCACCGACAACGAAACAGTTACGCTTAAACAGCAAATTGCTTACCACCGACACCGAACTCCAAATTGCTTACCGCCGACACCGAAATAGCTAACTACATTAGGTTCTATTCCCACAAGCAAAAGAAAAACCCTTTTGTCAGTGCGACACCGAAATAGCTAACTGCTTTGCGAGGTTCTATTCGCACAAGCAAATAGCTAACTGCTTTGCGAGGTTCTATTCCCACAAGGACTAGAAAAACACTTTTGTCAGAAAATCTTCAAGAGATTTAAAGATACTTTTTTGTCAGAAAATCTTCAAGAGATTTTAAGATACAAGTAAGACAGTTTGGTGAAATTAAGGATGACACAAAAATACAAGTTAGACAGTTTGGTGAAATTAAGGAAGACACATGATACAAGTAAGACAGTTTGGTGAAATTAAGCAAGACATACAACACCAAATAATGTACTTACTGAACCATTTCCGATCTTGCAAACTTAATGTTGCGATAATACAGCTTAATTGCAAAAAGTCTCCTGGCGAA